TGGACAGTACAAGTCAGACAAAGGTCTAATCTCCATAATCTACAAGAAAATCCAACACCTCTACAACAAAAAGACAAATAATCCTATTAAAAAAAGGGCAAAGGAAACGAACAGACACTTCACCAAAGAAGACATTGAAGCGGCCAACAGACACATGAAGAAATGCTAACGATCACTGGCCATTAGAGAAATGCAAATTAAAACCACAATGAGATACCATCTATCCCCAGCATTACTGGCACGAATCAAAAACACTGGAAATAACAAATGTTGGAGGGGCTGCGTGGAGATCGGAACTCTTATGCGCTGCTGGTGGGAATGCAAAATGATACAACCATCTTGGAAAATGATATGGTGCTTCCTTAGAAAGCTAGAAATAGAAATACCATACGATCCAGCAATACCACTCCTAGGAATATATCCTAGAGAAATAAGAGTCGTTACTCGAAGAGACATACGCACACCCATGTTAATGGCAGCATTGTTCACAACAGCAAAAAGATGGAAACAACCTAGATGCCCATCAACAGATGAATGGATAAAGAAACTATGATACTTACACACAATGATAAAGAACAATGATGAACCTGTGAAGCATCTCATAACATGGATGAAACTGGAGGACATTATGCTGAGTAAAATAAGTCAATCACAAAAGGACAAATATTGTATGAGACCCCTACTGTAAAAACTCATGAAAAAGTTTACACACAAAAAGAAACAATCTTTGCTGGTTACGAGGGATGGGAGCGGCGGGGGAGAAATACTAAATAGGCAATAGATAAGTGGTATCTTTGGCGAAGGGTGAGACAGTACACGATACTGGGGAAACCAGCACAACTTGTACAAGGAAATGTCATGGAAGCCCCATAGACACATCCAAACTCCCTGAGTGACTGAATTGCTGGGCTGAGGGCTGTGGGGACCATGGTCTCTGGGAACATGTAGCTCAACTGGCATAACATAATTTATAAAGACAATGTTCTACATTCTACCTTGGTGAGTAACGTCTAGGGTCTTAAAAGCCTGTGAGTAGCGATCTAAGATACTCCACTGGTCTCTCCCCTTCCGGAGCAAGGGAGAATGAAGAGAACAGGATACAAGGAAAAGATTAGTCCAAAGGACTAATGGACCACAGCTACCAAGGCCTCCACCAGACTGAGTCCAGTACAGCTAGATGGTGCCCAGCTACCATCACTAACTGCTCTGACCAGCATCACAACAGAGGGTTCTGGACAGAGCTGGAGAAGGATGTAGAACAAAATTCTAACACACACAAAAAAGGACCAGACTTACTGGCCTGAAAGAGACTGGAGACACCCTGAGAGTATGGCCTCCAGACACCCTTTTAGCTCAGTGGTGAAGTCACTTCCGAGGTTTACCATTCAGCTGGGGATTGGACAGCCCCGTAAAACAAAACAGGACTAATGAGGCACAGCAGTCCAGGGACAAGGACTAGGAGGCAGAAGGGGACAGGAAAGCTGGTGATAGGTAACCCAAGGTTGAGTAAGGACAGTGTTGACATGTAGTGGGGTTGTCACATTGTCACAGGGCAACATGTATACTGTTTAATGAGAAACTATTTTGTTCTGTAAACCTTCATCTAAAGTGAGAATAGCAGCACAACTGGAAGAACGTAATCGATGTCACTGAACTGTGCATGTATAAATTTTTGAAATGGTGTATCTTTGGCTATGTATATTTTTACCAAAAAAAAAAAAAAAGGTCAAGAAGGGAGAGGGTTGACATGTTGTGGGCTTGTTAACCAATGTCATAAAACAATATGTGTACTGACTGTTTAATGAGAAACTATTTGTTCTGTAAACCTTCACCTGAAGAATAATAAAAAAAAAATTTTTTTTTTAATTTATTTTGAGTGAAGACTGAGGAAAAATGGTTGAATTCTGTGTTTGAGTAGGACCGTAGAGGATAAGCAAAAGGTTAGAGGTTTGAGTCCACCCAGAGGTTCCTTGGAAGAAAGGCCTGGTGATCTACTTTCAAAAAAAACAGCCACTGAAAACCCAATGGAGCACTGTTCTACTATGATACACATGGGATCTCCATGAGTTGGAATCAACTTGATGGCAACTGGGTTCTGGGTATAGAATAATATATGAGAAACAGAATCCAGGGGAACACAGAGCCATAAGTGACAAAAGCTTATGAAATGCTGGGACTTTTCAGAAAACTTGGGCAGGGAGTTGAACTTCCCACGGGATTTGAGAGAAGTTCACATTTAGTCTAGAAATGAAATCTCACATGGTACTCTGCCAGTTGAAATCTTCCGGTGGTTCCCCACTGCCACGAGGATACAGTATATACTTATTTGAAGGGTGTGGGGGGCTGAAAAATGCCCCTCCTCCCAAAGATATTTCCCCTTAATCTTTGGAACCTGTAAATGTGACCTTATTTGGAAAAGGGTCTTTGCGGATATGATTAAGTTAAAAGGGAGTATTTTTGGAAAGAAGTGGGAAATTCATACAATCTAAGAAATGGCTGAAGAGCAACCCATGAAGAGGGCAGAAACTAGAGCGCCCTCTAATGGCATTCCACAGTGGCAACTGAGTTTACATGGGTTTCTTCTGCATCCTTAAAGGGGCATCTGTTGGCGCAGTGGTTAAGCGCTGGGCTGCTAATTGAAAGGTCGATGGGTCGAACTTACCAGCCGCTCCGCAGAGAAAGATGTGGCAATCTGCCTGCATAAAGATTACAGCCTTGGAAATCCTGGGGAGCGGTTCTACTCTGGCCTGTAGGGTCGCTATGAGTCGGCAACGGGTTCCTGTATCCTTAAGTCTCTATTCAATATTCAGATCCCAGGATCCAGAGTCAGTCCCACGGACCTAATTTGAGTGTCTTTCCTGCTTGTTGGCTTGAGAGGTCAGGACACCTTGACTGTCAGCCCCAGGTTATCCCCCAAGATGAAACCAGGAGCTAATATCAGAAGAGTCAAACAACAAGTGTCCTTACAATCTCTTCCACTCAGGACAGAATATCAGAACACGAGAGCGTGAATGGCATCACGATAGGAATAATCCTGAATCAACTCTAAGTTATCTCTAAAAGGGAATGGTGCAACCATTGGGATACTTGAATTTTTATTAGTAGCACGTGTGACAATTGTAACCATTTGGTGGAAATGCCGAATCTGAGAACGCAGCTCCGCTAGGAGACAAACATGCCGATGGACACAGATACATTCAACCAACAGGTATCAAATGCCTTCTGTGTGTCAGGCCTGTGCTAGACACGACACTCATTTAGCCAGTGCAAAAATGGAAAGGTTAAATTTTTGCCCCGTGTAGACAGATGCAAAGGGCAACTGCATTGCATTGGGGCTGAACAGGGTGGGGCTGGCCAAGGAGGGATTCCTTTCAGTACTCACCCTCTCGGCCCTAATGTGGTCCACCCTAGCCCCATTCACAAATAACCTCACATTCTTTCCAACCAATCCCCGGCCGTCTACCCCAGGAGGCTCCGCCCAGGGCCCAGGCGGCCCTAGGGGTAGGTGTCGCCCCCAGAATAAGAACATTTCACTCACAGCCAGCAGCTGTCACCTGAGAAGACTGAGATGCTCTCGCTAGACGACAAGGCTTGTTGTACTCGGGACAGGCACAGAGTATCCCAGCTTAAATTCCCTCCCCGAGGTAATTAACCTGGGGAGAAATACGACTGATCTCTACGGACATCCACCCTCCAGTCAGCCGCCCACTCGCCTTCCCAGACTGAGCCTGGAAGCATTTCGGCAGAGAAACGTAGTAGAAGCTGTCTCCTCCTTTTTCTGGGGAAGTTGAGATGGATCTCTTAGGGGCGTCCCGGACTCTCGACCTTGGCGCCTCTACGTGGGCGGCGGGCTTGAAGCAAGAAACTAAGGTCTCAGAAAGCGAGCCGGAATCCACAGCGGGGGTTGGGGGTGGTGGTGTCTGGGCGCTGGGCTCCAGGCGCCGGAGGCGATTCACGGCGCTGGCGGCGATTTACTGCGCCGCGAGGTCCCGGCTCCGCGTCCTCACCCGCTGCCCGGGCGGGTGGAGACGCTATCCTGCTGATTCCAGCGATCTAGCAGCGCGGAGGCTCTAATCCGCCGTTTTTACACATAATCACTTCACACGAGGGAGATTACTTACCTAAAATTGCACTCATAGCTGGAGGGATCTGTTGGTTTTAGAGGCTTTCGGCTCACGCTCTCAGGGGCTTTGTAAGGCAGAACCTACCCGGGAGGGGGCTGAGGCCCTAACTCACAGGCAGGAGAACTGCCAGTCACCGTAGTTTAAGTCATCTCTCTGGACCTCAGTTTTCTCAGCTGTTCAATGGGTTAAACTAAACCCTATACACCTCATAGCCTTTTAAGGATAAAACAGGGACTCCAAAAGGTGTTTGGAAAGTTAAAACGTATCAGAAGTGGGAGGGTTTCTTTTTGTTATGAAGCTCATAGCCCTCTCTGGCATCCATGTTTGCTCGTCACTTTAAAAATGCCTATAGTTGACTTAGGCCTGGATAGTGCAAAGGGTTAACACATTAGGCTGCTAACCAAAAAGTTGGAGGTTCAAACCTACCCAGGAGTACCTTGGAAGAAATGCCTGGCTATCTACTTCTGAAAAATCAGCCATTGAAAACCCTATGGAACACAATTCTACTCTGACACACGAGTTGCCCTGAGTCAAAATTGACTTGATGGCAACTGGATGTTTTTTTCTTTTTCTTTTTTTTTTTTAATAGTTGATTTAAAGGAGCCGATCTAGCTGGTTAGTCAGATGAGGGTAGGGGTGGGGTGGGGTGGGTGTCTTATTTGCTGGGCTTTTTCAGGGAATGAAGGAAAGGGAGGAAGTCCTGGAGTGTGACCTTTGTAAAAGATTTCTGTGGTCAGAGCCAATTATAAGTCTGCTGGTTAGAGTAGGGAATTGTTTTGAGCTGAACTCCTCATTTAACAGGTAAGAAAACCCAGGCCCAGACAGGGGGAAGTGACTTACCCAAGGGCACCCAGCTAGCTGTTGGACAGAGTGAGCTCTGGAATTTCTCTGAGGCTGGTTGAAAATAGCTTCCCTGTCTACAGCCTCGAGCTTGCCTCCTCCAACCTCTACCCCTATGTGAAATCAGGTTTTAGGATTTGAACCTTTCCTTAAGGAGCTAATGGAGTTGTTTGCTGTGTCCGTGGTATTTTGAAGTCCCTGGCCTGGTAAAGCCATTCTCTGACACGGTGTCTCTCAAACTAGGGAAGGTGGGGAGGTTTCAGGGGTTAAACAGTATTCCCTGGTGTGGAACTCAGCAGGGGTGAGTTCTACATGGGCACTGTGTACTTGATCAGTTTACAATTTGCTGTTAATAGAGGCCATTAATCACAGCCAAGTGCAGCTGGCCCAGCCTAGGACAGGGATGGTCCATCATCTTTGGGAGGAGCAGACAGGTAGGATTACTTGGGAGGAGCCTTCTTCAGTTCCCTGAGGCCTGAAAGCCCATCCCAGGAAGGAGGCAGTGGAATAAGTGCTCCCAATGTGATGAAACTGCTGTGTATAATGGGTGTCTCACTCCTTCCACCTGAGTCCTGGGGATCGAGTCCCCCAAATATCCCAACCTGAGTAAAATGCCTAGCACAGTGCCTGGTGCACATTAGGTGCTTAATGAATACTTTGAAGAAGGATTTGGTGTCTAGGAGGTCTTGCTCCCAAGCAGTCAGAGAGAGAGGGGGAGAGGTTTCAGTGGTTTCATCTTCCAACTGGGTGGCAGAAACCTGTTGCGATTGGCACCCCAAGGCAGTAGAAGCTACCACTGGGCAGCTCAGGGACAGACTTTTCCCTGCAAGGGGGGAGTGGGGTGGGGGTGCCAGCCAGGTCAGTGGGCACAAGATGTTAACTTCATGTCTCAGAGCGTATTCTCTTTCTATGGCCTCTGATGGGGCCCACGCTGCCCTGAGTCTTGGATATCCATAATGTTCTAATTGGAAACCCTTGATCATCTTGGATCTACTTACGGTCAAGACCAGGATTCTGGTGGGCTAGCCTTCTAGGCCTCCCAACAGAGTCTTAGATGTCTCTGTGCAGAGGAAGTAGGAAGGCCAACCATCATGTACCAAAACATTCCATCCCACAGTTAGATTGTGCCCTATAGCCCAACACTGAACCATCAGGACCCAACACACTCTTGTGCCCTGTATTAGTTTCATATGGCTGCTGTAATAGATTACCACAGATTTGGTGGCTTAAAACAACAGAAATGTATTCTCTCACAGTTCTGAAGGCCCGAAGTCTGAACTGAAGGTGTCAACAGGGTTGTGCTCCCTCTGAAGTTTCTAGGGGGGAATCCTTCTTTGTATACCCCAGCTTCTGGGGGCTCTGGGCATTCCTTGGCTTGTGGCTGCAACACTCCAGTCTCTCCTCAGTCTTCACATGCCCTTTCCCTCTGTGTGTCTCTCCTCTGTGTATCTCTTATAAGCACACTTGTCATTGGATTTAGGGTCTACCTGGAACCCCGGTGGTGTAGTGGTTAAGAGCTCGGCTGCTAGCCAAAAGGTTGGCAGTTCGGATCCACTAGCCACTCCTTGGAAACCCTGTGGGGCAGTTCTACTCTGTCCTATAGGGCTGCTATGAGTTGGAATCGACTCTACGGCAAAGGGTTTGGCTTTTTAGTTTGGTTTGGATAATCCAGGAGGCCCTCACCTCAAAATCCTTACCTTAATTACGTCTGCAAAGACCCTTTTTCCAAATAAGCTCACATTCACAGGTTTCAGGGATTTGGCCGTGGCCATATTCAACCTGCTACAGGCCCCTTAAGGTCTAAGTCAGAGGAGTATTTATTGTCTTTTGCCAATTGCTTATTTTAACCCTGACCCTAGAACAAGAGCAAGTGAATAAAAGTTAGGAGGGAAGATTTAATAATTTGAATGAGTTTAGCGCCATCATGTATATGGAACTTACCATATGCCAACCATTTTTTTAAATGCTATTCAAATATCAACTCATTTGGAACTCCCAACAACCCTGTGAAACTGGTATCATTTTTACGCTCATTTTACAGATGTAGAAACTGAAGTGTAGAGAGGTTAAATAACTTGACCCAGGTCATGCATACAGCAAGGAAGTGGCAGAGCTGTGTTTCAGGGTCTATATTCTGTACCACTCATAAAGGATGGGCATGGGGAAAAACTTGTCAACAGTATGGTTGTCAGAGTCAGGCTTCATCCACCTGAAAGAGCCTCCACCCCCAGCCACCAGGTGTGTGCATCCCTTCCTGGAAAGAGGGTTGACCAAGATGACCTCGGGGGCCCTTGCAGATGAACAATCCTCAGATCCCCCCTGGAGAACTTCTCCCTCTCAGACTTCACTTTCTTCTCTTTCTTTGGCTTCCAACAGGCTGGTCTGGGCCTCTTGATTGTGTTCAGCTCTCGTGGGACCTGGGGAGGAGTGTGCAAACCCTTGCAGGATTAGGGATGCTGATGAGGCAGCCAGCAGAAAACAGCATCACTTGACAGGGCCTCTCTCTTTCACAAGTCTGAGTTGATGCTAATAATTCCAGGGCCAAGCATGGTGCCCTCCTCCTGCTCCTCCAGCTGCTCTGGCCTCCCCATGAGCCAGCCCTTCTTGTTTCCACCTGACCCTTCTGTTATGTTTTCATAACATTTTTCAAACCTTTAAAGTGATCCTTCTGTCATCCTGTCTTGGCTTGGGTAGAGGGCTAGAAGTTTAAGAAATCCACCTCCTGCTTCTTTGCAGGACACTTCCTTGCCATGTCCAACTGAGAGCTGTTCTTAAAAACCTCCATAGAAGGAGATTCTTCATGTTCCTTGTCGTCTCCCTGCTTACAAAGTTATGAGGCCAGAGCTTTTAGGGAGATGGAATTTCTGGGGATAGGCTTCCAGGAATTTGTTGGGGCACACATAAGGATTTAAAGTATTCAGTTCATCTAGCCCAATGGTCAGCGAACTTTCTCTGTAAATGGTCAGATAGTGAATATTTTATACAGGCCATACAGGTTTCTATTGCAACTACTTAACTCTGCAGTTGTAATACAAAAGCAGCCTAGATGATACGTAAATGAATGGGCGTGGCTATGTTCCAATAAAACTTTATTTATAAAAATAGGCTGCCGACTTCTGATAGCAGGTTGTAGGGATGGGGCCTGGGTGGAATACCCTAGCTGGCACATTGGCCGGCTGCTGTGTAATACTTCCAACTAGCTAAGGTGTACCTTGGACCTGCCCAAGCAGGGGCCCCCTACCTCACTGTCTTAGTCATCTAGTGCTGCCACAACAGAAATACCACAAGTGGATGGCCTTAACAAAGAGAAATTTATTCTTTCACAGTCTAGTAGCCTAGAAGTCCAAATTTAGGACGTCAGCTCCAGGGGAAGCCTTTCTCTGTCTGTTGGCTCTAGAGGAAGGTCCTTGTCATCAATCTTCCCATGGTCAAGGAGCTTCTCAGTGCAGGGACTCTGGGTCCAAAAGAAGAGCTAGTTGCCTGGCTCTTGTTTCTTGGTGGTATGAGGTCCTCCTGTCTCTCTGCTTGCTTCTGTCTTTTTATATCTCAAAAGAGATTGGCTTAAATCGTAGATTAATTTTGTAGACTGAGTCTACATAACTGCCCCTGGCTAATCCCATCTCATTAACCTCATAGAGGTAGGATTTACAACACATAAGAAAGTGATATCAAATGACAAAATGGTGGACAATCACACAATACTGGGAATCATGACCTAGCCAAGTTGACAGATATTTTGGGGCAACACAATTCAATGCATGACACTCACCTACCCCACCAGAGGTCATGAGTAGACAGAGGACAAAGCCTTCGGGGAGCACTGGCAAGGGTCAGAATTGCTGTCCTGGAAGCAGCCTGGGGATGGAGACTTGCGTGTTGTCTCAAGAGTAAGGGGCCCCACAGGTCTTCTGACCACTGCTTTCAGTCCTTCTGACCTGCTCTGACAGCTTTCTCCTTGAGAGAGGAGCCCCACACAAACCTGACCATTGGGTAACACCCTTACTGCAACTTCTCATGACACCTTTTCTGATTCACTTAGGAAGAAAAGTCAAAG